AGGGGAATTCCCCTCCAGGCACTGCTTGTGCAAAGCAGGGGGGCTGGAGCCAGGGCAGAGATGCACATCATCCCAGCACTGCTTTCCCCTTGCCCTTGGGCAGGGAGATGTCTCACCTCCCTCTAAATGTGTCCCTGGTGAACGCAGCATCTTCTCCCAAGTAACTATTATTTTCTTCCCAGAAGGGGAAGGATGTGATATCCTTCCCTCTAAGAGGAGATCATAGAACCATAGAATCATAAAGTTTGGAAAAACCACTAAGATCCCCAAGTCCAACTGTCAGTACTATCTGCACCATGCCCTCTGCCAATGTCCCTCAGTGCCACCTCCCCACAGTTCTGAAACACCAGGGTTGGTGACCCCACCAGCTGTGCCATTGCATCGCTGCTCTCTTGAGAAGAAATTCTTCCTAACATTCAACCCAAACCTCCCCTGGCACAACTTATGGCCATTACCTATCATCCTATCGCTGCTACCTGGGAGAAGAGGCCAAGACCCACCTTGCTACAACCTCCTTTCAGGGAGTTGTGCAGATCCCTCCATGGTGGCCTCCCATTTGGGGCCAGGAGAAATGAGCAGCAGCCCCAGCACTGGCTCTCTTCTTGAGACATGGGCTGCCAGCAGCACCTCAGGCTTCTATGGCCATCTGGTCAACCTAGGGCCAGTTCAGGCCTTTGGGTCTTGTCAACCATTACAGAGGTGGCTGCATGGGTGAACAGGCCCCCATCATGGGTCTCTAACTCCTAAGGGTCCCCATGGTTTTGGGGATTCACCAAGGTCTGACAGTGGTTCAAGAAACTGCTGCTGAACTCAGGCTTCCCTCCTTTTTTGTAAGACGGGGTAGATATGCTTTCACCTGGCAGGCCCTCCAGAAGCCAGAGGCTGAGAGGTGCTCAGAAATGATGGACCAGCTAATTACTCTTGCTAGAAATGTCCCTGTCACTCTTCCCAGATAACTAGTCCTGCTATAAGTGTCCCTGACACCTTGCTGAGGGCAGTGGGCAACTAATGTGGAGTCCCTGATGCAGCAGCTAAAACCAGAGACAGCTGAATCCTCAATCCGCACAATACCTCTGTGTTTAAAGGAGGGCATCCTACTTTTCTTACCTTCCACACATCAGATGTTGTTCCCTGCAGCTCAGGCATTCAAGCAGGCAGGACAGCCAAATCACACCTTAGATGTATCCAGAAAACACAGGCGCTGCTCTGCTTGATCCAGAAAGAGCCTGGTCCCAGCTTCCCCCCCTGGTGTGTTCAGCTGCAGCAGTACTTATCGTGCAAAAATTGACGTCTGTCACCTCAGCAATTCGCAGGAACAAAAGCATGAAGTGCTCTTCTTTTGTCTTTGTTTGCTCAAGTCAGGCAAATGTTTTGCTCCTCCTGCAGAAATTCAGGATTGGAGGAAAAGTCACAGGCACGGTTAAGGCTGTGATGCAAGCACAGCACAGAAAAAAGTCATCTTTGGTGAAAATCCCATCCTAACTTGTCAGAAAGCATTTGTGCTCACCTGCCTTTGCTTCAACTGCAAGGCTGTACTTAATGAGTGAGTTTGCAGGGGAAATTTCTGGGCAGGCTCACACTGAAGAGACTCCTTTTATCCAGCAAACGGGTAAGCTGTGGCATTCTGCTTCAGGATGTTGAGAAGGCTCTTTGCAAAGCTTTGTAGTCAAGAATTCGTGGCAAAAAATAAAATAAAAAACAACACAGCAAAGACTGTAACACACACTTGCCCTGTTCTTGCATTCCTCCAAAGGGCTCCACTCCTGACTGCTTACAGGGGCATGAGGCATGGCTGGAGGGGTTTTGTGCTGCCTTGCTAAGCAGTTTTCACATGAACTCCTTTGAAATGATACATTTTTAAATTTCCTGAAGGTTAGGCTTCAATATTGGCTTTAAGCCAGTCCTTGGAGGACTTTGCTTGGCCTCAAGAGAGGCATCTGAGGTCATCACATGGAGCTGAGCTGCTGAGCTGCAGATGAACGGATTATTTCTCATTCCTGTATTAGGAGCACTTGTGGATTCAGACATTCCTCCATTATCATGCTGCTTTTATCCATGCCTCCCTCCAACCCTCCACCCATCCCCAGGACGGTGCTTCTGAGCCACAAGGCCTCCTTGGCCTCAAACATTTGACAGGGTTGAACTCATATTTAGTCCTTAATGATCCTGCGTTACCTGGCCTCATTATCCAGGTTGGGCTGCTGCTGAGCCTCGATAGGTGCTTAGGAAGGAAGGGAGTGTGGATATAAACAGAAAGGCACAAGAAAAGGTTGCTGAACAGAAAGGTGCAGGTGCACCATCCCCAGAAAACCTCCTAAAGGCTGTCAGTGCTCACTAACAGGGATGAGACTTCCTACAACACATTCTGCATCCAGGAGAGCCACAGCTCTGGCAGAGCTCACTCTAGGATCACTGGAAGGAGGTGGGAGGTCCCCCTAAGCCGGTTGGAGATGCCTTGTCACACCATGAGCTATTTGAGGGGTGGCTGCTGCAGTTCTGGCTCTCAGCGCATTCTTCAAGCAGTTCCCACAGCCCAAGCATTAGTCACAGGGATTCTATTAATTAGCTTCGGAGAGGCAACCCCCAAGAACAGGGGAAACTGTAATTACAGCCCTTGCCTGTTAACTTTGTTTGGGCTGGTGTCTCTGCTTTTAAAGCAGAAACAAAAGGGAGCAGACCAAGACAGCTGATGCTACTACGAAGAAATGGGCAGATGAGCCTGAGAGGAGCCGGCATGGGCTAGGAGTTGCAACACTCTCTACAAACCCATCTGCTCCCAGAGTCACTGGATTTGCCAGCGACCACTTGCAAAAACTGCTGCAGCAAGATTTTGCTTTGCCTGAGTGATAAAGGGCTAACCGAATGCAGATCAGGAGTCACCATCACAGATGTTCTGTGCCTGCGCAGTGGCAGCATCCCTGTGTTGTCCATGGGTATGTGGGCATGTGCAATCTCCATCCCTTTGTGTTCCACCATTTATTTAAAAAAAAAAAAAAAGAAAGAAAGAAAGAAAGAAAGAAAAAGGAAAAAAAATACATCGAAGCACAAGATTAGCTGGGGGAAGGGAGATGGGTTGGTGGGGCTGGGAAGAAATAATTGCCATGTCTGAAAGCAGTTACTATGGCAGCAACAACCTTCTTGCTGCTGGAGCGAAATGTTGGGGACCAGCAAGTGCTGCCTTTGTCAGATGCTCTCAGGCACACATTTAGATGCTAATGCTGGCTTTAACCTTGGCTGCATAACCTTGGGCGAGGGGGGGTGAGGGGGGGGGGGGGGAGGGGGGAGAAGGAAAGTAGGGGAGGGGAGAGCTTATGGAAAAGATGGGTTTCCTCTCCCTAAATTTGCCACTGAATTGACTTGGCATACTCCCCTCACCGCGATTAACGCTGTTATTCCTGCACTTAATATTCAGCAGAGGTTTTAACAGCTTATTTATGGATAGCTGGCATTAGCTGCAGCATAATTCACCACTGCAATGCTCCTGTTTATCTCTGTCCCCTTGGGATCATTTGATATAAGGCCATTTTTTAGAACATCCCCTAGGTTTGATCAGGCTGTCTATCTAATCTCGACTTTATTTATAACTCGCAATCAATGCTGGGGTGAAAACAGGAGGGGCACCTTTCCCTTCCACTTCAGTAAGAGATTTTGGTGGCCTCTTTCAAAAAGGAAGCCTTTCAACTGGAGGCTCAAAGCCATCTTCAGCAGCAGGGGTGAAAGAGGAGGAAGGGAGGGGAAGCTTTGGCTTCTGCATGAGAAGTGATAGGAGGGAAAAGGGCTTCCAAGTGCTCCAAGTTCTTTGCAGAGAGAGTGGTGAGGTGCTGGAACAGCTGCCCAGAGAGGCTGTGCGTGCCCCATCCCTGGAGGTGTTCAAGCCCAGGTTGGATGGGGACCTGGGCAGCCTGGTCTAGTGTTAAATGGGGAGGTTGGTGGCCCTGCATGTGGCAGGAGGGTTGGCAATCCATGATGCTTGAGATCCCTTCCAATCCTGGCCATTCTGTGATTCTGTGCTCAGAAAGAGCGGTGATGCAGTGGCACAGCTGCCCATGGAGATGGTGGAATCACCATTCCTGGAGGGTTCCGTAACAGTGGGGATGTGGCACTGAAGGATGTGGGCAGTGGGCATGGTTGGGTGGGCTGGGGTTGGACTGGATGATCTGAGAGGTCTTTTCCTACCTTTATGATCCTATGGCTGTTTGATTTTCCAGCCAGCCCTGTGCCTGTGCCCTGCCTTGTGAGCGGTGATGCTGGGCCAAGCCACGTTCCTCCTGCACACTGTGCTCACGGAGCTCCCTGTGCTTCTCACATCGTCACCACGTGGTGTTTTCCACAAAAACTGCACCCGCTGTCACCTCCGCAGTGTCACAGCAAGCTGCCTGTATTTTTAATGACTGCATGTGTTAGCAGGTAGTCTTATCTCCCCGTAAAGCAGCAAACACGCATCCACAGAATGAAATATGAAGATGAGAAATGACCCCACTCCATCCCGACAATCCCCACTGCATGCTGCATGGGAAGAGCATCTTATATTAAAAGCAGTATCCGTCTCCTGCGGTATACTTCTTTCTCCGGGGCTTTCCGGTTAAGCTGTCAGATGTGGTGGATCTTCATTTTACCGACGCTCTGAAGGAGGAGGTGGATAACAGTGCAGGAGCAGCTCTGCCGCTGCTCTTGGGAGCGATAGCAAAAGCAACTGCCAGAGCGAGGAGCGGGGCAGAGTGTGGGACCCTCGGGGGCCAAAACACGGAGAGAGGGCGTTTATAAAGCACAAAAGGTCTCGGAGCTGGGGCGGCTGTGCGGTGGGGATCGCTGGGAGGTCACCGTGACGGCAGCACCTCAGCATCCGCCCTTCCGCAGCCGGCGCCCGCGGCCCGGCCCCACGCCCGGGGGCTGCCCCGGGACCGCGCGCGAGGGGCGTGCCGCCATGAGGCGGCGGGAAGGCGGGAAGGAGGAGGAGGAGGGAAGTGGCGGCGGCGGCGGCGCGGTCCCTCCTCCCGGGCGGGGCGGCCGGCAGTCCCCGAGCCCCGGCGCGGCGTGGGAGCGTCGCTGCCCGCCGCTCCGTCAGGGGCCGAGCCGGGACGAACCGAGCCGAGGCGGGCCGGGCCGGCGCGGGGATGGGTGCGGGGCTGTGAGGGCGGCGGAGCCGGGGGCGGCCATGGGGAACATCTCCTCCAACATCTCCGCCTTTCAGTCCCTGCACATCGTCATGCTGGGCCTGGATTCGGCCGGGAAGACCACGGTGCTTTACCGGCTGAAGTTCAACGAGTTCGTCAACACCGTGCCCACCATCGGCTTCAACACGGAGAAGATCCGTCTGAGCAACGGCACGGCCAAGGGCATCAGCTGCCACTTCTGGGACGTGGGCGGCCAGGAGAAGCTGCGCCCGCTCTGGAAGTCCTACAGCCGCTGCACCGACGGCATCATCTACGTGGTGGACTCGGTGGACGTGGACCGGCTGGAAGAAGCCAAGACGGAGCTGCACAAGGTGACCAAGTTCGCCGAGAACCAAGGCACGCCGCTGCTGGTCATCGCTAACAAGCAGGACCTGCCCAAGTCGCTGCCCGTGGCCGAGATCGAGAAGCAGCTGGCGCTGCACGAGCTGACCCCTTCCACCACCTACCACATCCAGCCGGCCTGCGCCATCATCGGCGAGGGGCTGACCGAGGGCATGGACAAGCTCTACGAGATGATCCTCAAGCGGAGGAAGTCCCTTAAGCAGAAGAAGAAGCGGTAGAAGCCCGCAGATGTGCGGACGGCTGGGAGAGCAAACAAAGGAACAGAGGAGGAGAGAGAACCAAAGCGATCCTTTTTTTGTTGGTTGATGGGTTTTTTTGTTTTTGTTTTTTTTTTCTTCCCCTTTTTATTCCGGTGTGAGTGTGTGGTTTTTTTTATTTTTTTATTTTTTTGTCCCTTTCCGATTGAAACGACTACAATAGCGGTGATAACAATGCCACTCCTGCAAGCCAAGCCCAGATCCTGACTGCAGGATCTCCTCCTCCTGCTCTCCCCTTTGCCCGCCGCCCTATCCCCGGCCATAGGGCAGCATGGAGCAGGGGTAGGGCACTGCTCCCAAACCCCTGAGCCCCATGGCCGGGCTGGAGATGCTCTGAGCGGGGCGAGACGCCGCGGGCGGCCGAGAGCCCACGGAGCTGGGGCAGCCCCCCAGCTCTCCTCCGTGCCTGGGGGTCTGACTGCTGCTGGGGGGCAAACCTAGGGGTGAACAGGGCAGGACCCTGTGCAAGTGCATTTGAGAGAGGCCAAAGGTGAGGCTACAGCTGTGCAAGGTCAGCCAACGGAGGCTTGGAGCAGCACTGTGGGGGAGACGACCGAGGGATGAAACGTGACTGCCGGGACAGAACCCCAGCATGGGGACAGAACCCTGCGAAGGGGACGAAACCCTCTGAAGGGGGCAGAATGTGGCCAAAAGGACAAAAAGAAGGACAGAGCCTGGCCAAGGGGACAGAACCTGGCCAAGAGGACAAAAACCCCTCCAAAAGGACAACACAGCCCCTCTGCAGGCTGGTGTTTTAGGAAGTGGATGAAGAGGACAGACAGCTTTCATGCAATGCCGGAGCAGCTGGAGGTGCATATCAGCTGGTGACTGGTGCTGAGCTTTAAGCTGTTTGCTTAAAAAAAAAGAAAAGAAAAAGGAGGAGGGAGGGGGGAAGCGGCACGGGGTCCAGGAGCCCCCGTTTTCTAAAGCTTGGTTGTGGCATCTCCTGCAGAAAAGCCACAGGAGGTCTTTATCGTGCCCAGGCAAAGGCATGCTCCAAGGTGCTAATCTGCTCCGATCGGGGTGATCCAAAATACGGATTACTTTGGAAAAGGAAAAAAAAAAAAAAAACAAAAGCTTTGTACACCACCGCGTGGATTGATCACCGTGCTGCTCTGCGAGTGGGGGGAAGGTTGGGGCGGGGGGTCTGTGGCAGCAGAAGGCAGGACGGGCAGCTGCCAGCACTGCGCGGTGCAATGGGCAGAGCTTGCCCAGTCTTGCCAGAAGGTTGCAAAATCCAGCAGGAAAACGGACTCGGCAGCGCCGGGAAAATGTAAAGAGTTGGGAGAGGGGGGTGGGAAGCATGGGGCAGAAGGGAGGTTATTTTTTTATCAAGATTTAAACCCACTGAAAGCAGAGAGCCCCCAGTTGCCAGCAGGTTCGTTCCTGGTTTCCTGGAGGGCTGAGTGCTCGGGGCAGGGGCAGGCCCCGTGGTTTCCTTCTGCAGGTGGAGGTTTGGTAGCAGGGTGGGAGCGCTGCAGCCTGGAACCGTCACCATGCAGGACAAAGGCAGGGGCCCCGCTTCCCGCGCTTCCCACTGAAAGAATGGGGGAGGCCCAGGCAGCCCTCAGGGCCGAACGTGCTGAATTTCAAGCCGCAGTTGGGCAGGATTCTGCAGTGGTTTTACTGTTAGAAAACCCTCCCCAAAGCAGCCAAGGAAACCACCGAGCAGACAAAGAAAAAATGCCCTCGGGTTTCAGGGAGTTGATTCTCCCGTTGCAGCACGGTACCTTTCGCAGCGTTTCGTTGGAAAAGCAAACGCTGCAGCCGGGCAGCGTGGCCCTTCTTTTGCAGGGTTTGAGTCCCTACGAGTCCTGACTTGTGCGTCGAGCGAGTGGGCTGGTCCCATCCCTTCAGGAGGCTCTGTTCCTGCTTCCTTAGGTTTGCTTTGCTCAGTCTTCACCCCGAATACTTTGGTACTTGGTGCTGGGAGAGAAAACAGTATTTATTTTTTGATGCCACGGAAGCCAAACGCTTTAACCTTCATTGGTGAAGTAAAGAACTCCTTTTTCCCACCGTCTCAAAAGCGAGCAGGTTTGAAACAGAGCAAGTGCAGGTGTTAGCTGTGTGCTTTGCCTCCTCGCTGGCGAGAGGTGGGTCTCGGTTCTGCAGACACCAGCATTGAAGTTATGAGGTGTGTGTCTGCTGAGCTCGGTCCTTCCCAGGGACCGCGCTCTGCTGAGCAACCCCACTGAGAAGCATCTGCCTTCCAGCTGGGCTTTAGGCATGTGCTCACCTTACCTGCCTCAAGGCTCAAGACCTGAAAGCTCAGGTGGGACGCTGTCATGGTGCCATTCCCACCAGTTCTGCTTTCTGCAATAATTAAAATCACTTCTCCAATTAGTTGCTAATGGCTTCTGTGGCATTACCCTAACGTTTCACAACTGTGTGCTGATTTTCCTGAATGACAATGAGCGTCGCCTAAGGTGGGCTGGAAGAGGTGCTGCAACAAAATGACAGTTGAAGGAAATTGCCTGTGTTGTTGCTCTGAGCCTTTTGCCGGGTTGTGTCTTCTCTGAATACGTTGGAATGACCCTTTTTTTTTTTTTTTTAGCAGACGTTTTGGGGGTACCGCCGTGGTTTCGTGGGGGTACCTTGCCGTGTTCCCAACAGTGTCTGAAATCCCACTGCCCACGTCTCAGCCCTGCCGCTGACCACCAGTCTCTGTCCTTCCTGTCTTTCCTCTTTTTCTAAAAAATGCAGACATAATGCTGTGAACTGAAATAAATTATTTATACAGTGAAAGGGCCTGATAAAAAACAAAAAAAAACCAAAACAAAACAAAACGTGTTCCTCTGCTTCTTTCTCTTTGCTAGTGCTGTGTTTTACAGTTGTTTCCCTGTGCATGTGGCTGCTGCCTTCCCTGGCTGTGGCGTTTGATGGATGTGGCCGAAGCTTCTCTAAGTGATGTGCAATGCAGTGGCAGAGCCGGGCCTGTAGGGGTTAAAGCACCAGGACAGGATGCTGCTGCTCCCGGGTGGCTGCTGACACAGGAAACATGGGTGACATTTCAGAGGTGAAAGCTAGAGCGGGTGGTAACTGATTTTTTGAATTTTCGGGTTTTAATGATGATGTTGCATCTGGTGAGGAAACGAGTCAAACTGGTGGCAGTTCGATTGGATGGGCTTGGAGCATTTGGAGAGGTTTGCTCTGGGCTCATCTCTGCTGCCCACGTGGCTTCCAGCGTGTGTGGTGTCTGGTGGCACAGACTGGGCAACAGCCAGGAAGCTGGAGGTTTGGAGAGGCTGTGACTTTGCTTGTTACTGTGCCATCAGACCTGCCCTCAGGGCTGCAAGCAGGGGGTTGGGTCCTCTTGCCAGCAAAGCTCCTTGTGCCTCGAGCTGCAAGGGCAGACATCCTCCTGCAAGCCACAGCTACTTCTGGTTGGAGAGTGCTTTTACCAGCAGGGTATTGGTTATGTTTGGGCCAGCTGTCGTGAAACTGTTTCACAAGAAGCAATCTGACCTCGCTGTGCTCTGGAGCTGGCCATGATTTATGCTGCCACATCATCTCCCTGAGCTCAGGTAAACTGAGCAGTGCTGAGCTGGGGTCCCCAGCCCGACGTGTTGGGACTCTCATGGTGTGTAGAGCCCGGAACACCAGGCAGTGCAAGGGATGATATCCCTGCATGAAGAAAACCATGTACAACACCAGCTGCGCCAGATCTCTGCCAGCACTAAGCAGGTAAGAGAGACCTGCAGCCTTTTACCATTTGAGTGCAAGAAACTGCAAAGGATATTGCATCTTTGAGGCTTTACTCAAACACAAGCTCCCAAGAGCCCTGCAGCCCCTCTTCTGTAGTTCTGCCCGTGCCCTGCCTTCTGACTGAACAGATCCTCTCTCCCCAATTTGCTTTGTTAAGCTAAATCCCTCTGCTTTATTTCAAATGGGATTTGCTCCCAAGCAAGTATCTTTAAAGGGATCATCTTGGTTAAAGTAATTCCTAGAGCACAGAATCCCTGAAGCACAGTGCAATGCAGAGAGCTATTTCTTTGCACAGCACCAGGTGCTTTTGCTCAAGATTTGGGCAGCATGTGGATGACTATCTCTTTAAAATAGGCTACAAATTGTTGTGTTTACTTGTTCTCATTCATCTTAAATGAGAATTACCCTCAAATCAAGTGCACTTTTTTTCTGAGCAGCAGAAGTTGCTGGTGTGAGTCAGGTCTGCAGGACACAAAGCACTTCACAGAAGGTGTCATCCTGCTTGCAGACTGCTTCAGGATGTTTGTGATGAGATCTGGGACTCCTAATTCTGGTCACATTCTTTCAGATGCCCCAGACCTCTTTTTCACACGTATAAGAGGGTTGCTAGCATTTTTCATACTCCTAAAGGCTACAGAATGGTGTTGGCATGCTTAGATCTCCATCTTAAAGATGCTGAATTCACAGGATTAGCTCTGATACATCAGAAAAAGGGTTTGAATGGTGCTAGGTTCAGTGGGAGATTGCTGCAGTTATTCCTGCTTGCACGTGGCAGGGCTACTTCAGTGCCTCCATTCAGCCTCAGCATCTCCATGCCACACTGACTTAGTGAGAAGTGGCTCTCTGAAACCCTTCAGCCATACAGTCCGAGTTATGACTGCAAGAGGACAGTTAATAACCCATTTTAGAGCTGTGGCTGCCCTGCAACTGCAGGGACAGGGGTCAGCTCTGCTATGTGTCAGAGAGGATGGCACAGAGGCTCCCGTTGCCAGCACAGTGCTATACCAGCTATGCCCTGGCCACATCTGCAGGGCTGGAGGAGCCGGGGGATCCAGATTTCCCCCACTCCCCTTTGTGAGCTCAAATCTGCTCCCAGCAGCTGCAGCCCCCCCTCCAACCTTTTCTGCTATGCCAGCCCCATTGGTGCAAGCGCTCCTGTCCCATTCCGTGTCTCTGGCTCGTGACACTGCATGCAACATTCCCAGTTTGTGTTTGGCTGGGTGATCTGTGCTTGTTCAGCTCTGCTGTGGGTTTGAGAGAGCACAGAGGTGAAAAAAAACTGCGGCAACGGGAAATGCAAACACAGGGCAATTGTTGGGCTGGCTAATGTTTAAACAGCTCTTGGAAAGCCCCCTCCCTTGTTGCTTGCCCTCTCTACCCCTTCTAACAAGGGGACCCTTTCAACTCTTTGGCAGCTTCCCCATCCTCCAGCTTCTGCTGCCCATTTCAAATCTCCAAAGGCAGGAGGAGGAGGAATGGCAGTGCTGTGACTTCAAAATGTTTGCTTGCCCACTGTGTCCTCCCAGGATGGACCGTGCTATTTCCCAGCCAGCCTTACAAATCGCCTTACTTAGAAAGGGGACTTTGTTAGAGCACAGTCGATGCCCAGATGACAATGGGTTGTGGGGAAAACTGGAAAAATGATAACCCACCCTCACACCATTCTTGTCACGTGCACTGGTTGCTCCCCATTCAGCCTCTGTAGCTAGTGACTGCAGGAGAAATGACCTTCACAGTGCAGCTGCACAGATCTGTTTCCAGCACATGGCCAAGAGGTTGCATCTGGTGGTCTCAGAGAGATGGAGATCTTGCTGATGTTCTCTTTGCAAACCTCAGCACAAGGAAGATGAGAGGAGAGGAGGGGCTGTCTCCTGGGGCTCAGCCCAGTCATGGGGTTGCTGCATTTCTTGTGAGATTTACAGCAGCCTCAGAGCATCTCAGCCTAGGAATGGGGCAAGGGTAGGTTAACCCCATCCCTTTCCATTGTCGCTGCAGCTTCTGGCATGGAACCCATCTGTCTTCCTTCTCAGACCAGCCTCTCTTAAGGTGCTGCCCATCTTCTTTTCATCACAAGGGTGTGATGGAAAGAGTAAGTCCAGGCTGGAAAGGGATGAAATATTTCCATGATGACTCACCTCCACACGGCCACAAAACCTCGTGCAGGACAAATAACTCATCTGGGGCCCCTTCCTCCCTCCCCCTCCCTGTAAAACTCAATTAGAGCAAAGAAGGTAGAGGAGAAAAACTGTTTTACTGAACCTTAACATCAGCATTTCTTTTCAGCTTGTCTGCTTTGTGTCTGTAGTAATTGCTAGGATGTAATGGGTGAAAACTGGAGCTTCATTGCAGACAGGAAGATGCTGATGTGACAATGTGTTTGAAGGGGGCAGTGGAGCATGAGGCCATAAACCTGTCGAGAGGTCACCAAAGGGGCTGCTCTGAGGAATGAGGGCTCTGCTGGAGGTTTATCACTGCGGTCTGAAGGTTTGTAACCTCTGAGGATGCTCTAGCTAGGAAGAACAGAGCTTTACTGGCTCATTTTATGCTAAATTTGGCTTAGCCCTGGATAAAGGATAGCCTGGGAGAAGGCCTGGGGGCTAGGAGAAATGTCATAGAATCACAAAAATATTTAGGTTGAAAATGACCCCCAAGGTCACCGAGTCCAACCATCACGTGACACTACCCAGTCCTCCACTAACCCATGGCTCTCAGTGCCACATCCAAAATGTCTGCAAGGTAATGGAAGTCCTTGCAAACCACATGGTGCTCCTCCTTCCTCTCTGTCCAAAAACAAACATGCTTCCATCCTTTCCATGCCATTGCCTTTTTCTGGCTGAGTATCCAGGAGTCTCTGGTATGGCAATCTCAGGAATGGAAACTGCAGCAGAAGAAATCCTATCCCTTTACCCCCCCTGCTCCCCATCTCCTGTCCTGATGGAGCTTCTTTTATCATGAAATATGCAGAAAATTGTTGGGTTCTAATGATCTGAACTCCTTCAGTCAAGACAGGACTCAGCTTGCAAAGAATGTGAATAATTTATGTGTAGATAATAATGAGAGAGCACATGAGGAGAAAGGAATTTGTCTTTCGTTCTCCTCAGCGCTGTTCCTGAGGTGATGCTGAACTCAAATAGCAATTCCTGATTGTCGCAGGTAGTCTGACTTGTGTGGGGACCTTCCTTGGACTGCTCTGCTTGTAGTAAGCAGAGCCTCCTTTTCTGCTTTAATGCAGTCCACTGTGGATGCAATTGCTAACTGAGGGGAATACTTTTCACTTCCAGTTAACTGTAGATCTGTATTCCCTGGCACCCTTGCATACCCTGGAGTAGCTTTTCCCTATAGGCAAGTCTCCAGAACCAGTGTAGAAATCCACCTTCCAGCCCAAACCCAAACCTTGCAAATGCAGTGAGTCATTCCAAGAAACTCACTGTGCTGGCATAAGCCAGAAGCCCTGACATGTTTTTTGAGGAGTCCTAGCAAGGGTAAATACATAGTTTGTGAAAAAAAAAAAAAAGAGCCATTTCAATAGATTTAATATATGAAATATCAGGAGATATTCATCCACACGTTGTTTTTAATTCCCTTGTTCCAACTTTGCTGTCTATTGGATCGTTTGGAAAAACAAAAAAAGTCCAAAACACAAGGCCACAAGGCTTTTTCTCCTCCTAGTCCTCAACATCTGTCCTTAGCAGAGGTTTGCTCAGATCAGGTCGGGTGGGAGTGAGGCTGATGTACTGCTCCTGCTTGAAATTTCCCTTTAAGGCAATCTCAGATGAGTGGCAAAAACAACTAAGACTCTTAAGGGTTAAGTCTTAACTGATTGAAGGAGGTGGGGAGGGTCTCACACTGGTCACTTTGACTTCTGCCCTAGGCGTAGGTCTGTCACTAGTGGAGGACTCTGCAGGATAAACATGGACAACATGCTCATGGATAATGTGCCTTTAATTACTATTAATTACTTAGTTGTGCTCTCCGCGGCTCTGCTTAAGACAACCACATTAATTGCTCATGAACAAGCTCTGGACACATATAAACTGCAATGGAGTCAGCAGATCATTTAAATCCCATCCCTTGAAGGTCTGACCTCAAAGCTCTCCCTCGTTGTATACCTCTTGACTAGCCAAAGCTGGTGGAGCTTCTGCTGAAATGCTCCAGGGTTTCTCATTTTCCAGTTTTTGACCTTGCTTTGGGGCAGCAGGACAGCCAACAGGAGCTGGGAGGTGTTTAATTCCATTCACAAGGGTTGTTGCACCAGCATGGTTGGACTAGATGATCTCACAGGTCTTTTCCAAACCTAACAATGCTATGATTCTGTGATCCAAAATAGAGGCATGTCTGAATCAGTCTGATGGTTCTCCTATCCCAATAAATTTGCTCTATTAAAAGAAAACAAAGGTAGAAACAATCTGGGAAAGGTGACAGTTTCCATCCCAGCCTTTCTCCCCTGCTCCTCTCCCTTCTCACCACCCCTGTATCTGCACATGGGCAGGAGGGAGGTGAGGATCTAGCAGGGGATGTGTGTGAGTGTGAGTATGTGTGTGCCACACCTGTTGCACAGCTGTATGCAGACACAATGCTCAGAAGATGGTATTCTGATAATATTGACTCAAACACCCCCTATTACAAACAAAGCTCCTTCCTAGGAAAATACAAGGGTGGGGGAGGGAGAGGTGGGCCTCCCTGAGCTTACCTCTGCTCCAAAAGCACATCAGGCAGTAATTAATCTCTTGAGGGTTTGTGCTGATATATAATTACGCGTAGTGAAAAGGTCTAGCAGTGCAGTTTGCAATCAATTATCACTGCGTATCAGTCACGTAGACCGGATCATCTCACAACCTGGCTGCCAGTGACTTCAAATCCTAATACTTAAGGTAATCTAAAAGTAAGCTAAAATCTAAATCTTCAGATGTAATTTCCAGCGTTTCAAGCGCTTCATCCTCCATTCCTGTTTTAACACCTCCAGCAAGATCCTCTCCTGTAAAGCCCTGAAGGTTGATTCATGGAGCAAAAACTTCCCAGAAGTACAGCGGGTACAACGCAGTGCTGACGCAGGGTGCTGTTTACTGGGCAGTGCAGAGAATTCATATGTCCTTGGCCACGAGGAACTGACGTGACTCTGCATGAATCCAACCCAGTTCTGTGCAGCAATCCCTTGCTTTCACAGCAGTCTGCTGTTTCCCTCCCCTTCTGAGCAATTCCAGCTCATCCACATTACTGCCACTCTAGGTTGTTCTACCTGGAACTTGGTGATATTTGGTGGTTAAGCAAAAGCTCTGCATCCTGGGGGAGCTTTTCCCCAAAAGGCCCCACCTCTCTGCGACATCAGAAGGAAAGAGGAGCTGAGATTGCAGATGAAAAGGAGCTGGTGCTTAGTGTTAAATGAAAGCAACCTGTGAGTTTTGTGCCAGTCTGGATTTTGAAACAGCCTGGCTCGTTGGATTTGTTTTTATTTCTTTTTTTTTTTTCCTTCTATTTTTATTTTTAAATACGAGCATTTAAAGAAGCCCCTTCTGCCTGCACACTCTTGGAGCAGTCACAGCGTTATCTTTACAGAAACACTGAACCTCCTAGCTGTTCTGCAAGCCGTCCATCTGTGCCCACGTGTTGTGTGGAGATGTGGCATCCCAGCACTCTGAAAGCGTCTGCATCCCTTCGGATGTGGCAAGTTGCTTCTGGTCCCTGGCACAAAGCGTTCCTGCAGTCAGCATAGATTAGGCCGTCTGGCTGGAGGATGTGGGAGGCTGTAAATCTCTGGGAGGTTAATTCTGCCTGTTGGGATTGGTTTTCTCCCTTTTAACAGTCATTTCTGCAGAAGTTGCATGTGAAAGCTTTCCTCATGTCCTACGTGAGTACAGAGAGCGAAGTCACGTGGAGAAAATAGAGGAAGGCTGCAGTGACCAGAGCCCTGAGGGCTGGGGTTTTCCACCCACAGCAAAACAAAATCTCAGCACTCACAAAGCTCAAGTCTGGTCCCTATTCTGAATCACCTTGCTTCCAAATGCAGAAATGCATCACAGGATTGTGCCTATAATAAGTAACCGTGGCTGTCCATAGGATGGGAAGGAGAGCCAGGAAACTCCAGAAAAGCCAAGTTAATACTGGAGAATCAGACATCACAGCTGCAGGTGACATGTTCTCCTTTTCCAAGGAAAAAAGGAGTCTAAGCCCTCAGATGACCTTAAAACAGAGGGTAAGAGGCTGGTTGGAAATCCATCTTAGAAGTGGGTCTGGTAACAGACTGCTCTTTTTTTTTTTTTTTTTTTTTTTTTTTAAAGACATCAGACATCAGCTTGGTAAAAGAGGAGTAATTAGACGTGAGCTATGAAGTGCCCCAGCATTCATGGACATGTTCAGGTCTGATGACTGTGAGCTCAAACTCCAGCCAGCAGCAAAGCCTGGATGATTCCTCAGTCAATGAGCTTTAACACATGGTCGTGGCTCTTCGGTTCCAGTGCCATGAGCAGCCAAAGGCCTCCCAGAGCAGGTACAACTCACTGCTTGGAGCAGAGGAGTAGCCCAGCCTCCTCTTACAGCCCTGCTCGTGAGCCTGATTCCACTGCTAAGGTCTTCCCTTGATGGCAGGGCCTTGGGCACCATCCCCGGCAGGCCTCATTCCCTGTGAGCTGGAGAGTGAGCATCCACACTGAATGCCCATGCTGTCTCTCTGGCTCAGCCACAGCCACAGCAGGGCTGTGTGCAGGGCTATGGCTATATGTGGCTTGTTCTGAGGAGCCACTGCCCTATTGGGAAGGGTGGAAGAAGGCTTCTGCCCGGGCTATAGATGCCAATACACATTAATGAGCACAACCCCTGTCAGCACTTCAGGACAAACACCAGCCCCCTGTTGTCTGCTGCCTGAGGGCTGTGTAGATTCAGGAATCCTGATTTTGGTGGGAAATCAAATGGCTCTGACTGATAGCCTTGGCTCACACTTCGTACGGTGTGATCCTCACATTCAGCAACCCCTCTGCTTCTTCAGCTCCTAAACGGGCTGGAAGAGGAAAGAGAAGGCCTGGCTAGGTGTCAAAATAAAGATAACTGCCTTGATTGGAGAGAAATATCCTCTCCCTATTCCTAGCACATGGTCCAGCCCCAGAGGGTACAGCATCAAAGAGAGATGGGTTTTCAAGGTGTGCAGGAAACAGCTGGACAGGAGCAGTAGCATCTTCTTAGGGCAGAGGTAAACCACTGTGTCTTTCCCTACCCTGTGCAACATTAGCTCTCACGCTCCCTGGAGACCCGCTGCATCCTCCAGCAACTTGGCCTTCTCCCAGGACAAGTACTTGGGGCACAGAAAGCATAGGGCTGGCTTCCAGCATCACTGAGCTCATCTGGACTGGCTCAGGGAAGGAGAAAGCCCTTCCTGCCAGCCTGCACCCCTCCCCAGAGGAATGCAAGCTATGCAAGGACTGAAGGTCACTGAAATCAGGTGCAGCAAAGCAAGTAAAAGGGAAAGAAAATGTCAATAAATCAGGTTGTGGGAAAAGGAGGGGGGCACAAGTGTGCAGAGCTGCTGGAGGATGGTGCAACACAGCCTTCCCAGAGGGAGGTGGCACAGGAGCATTAACCTAGGGTTGTCTCTCAGCCTTGTCTACTTCCAACTAGACAAACTCAGTGCATTCAAAGACCTTACCATCTTTTTCATATTGCAGAGCACAGAAAAAAAAACAAAGTTACAAATACATAGAAAATATTTTTTAAACTTTTTTTTTTTTTTTTTTCCCTGTTTAGACAGGAAACCTCCCCCAGGCTTGAATCTGCATTGTGCAAGCATTCATTCCTGCAGCTCCAGTTCTGTGTGTAAGCCTACAAAACTGTGGCTTAGGGGAGACAGATGGACATCTTGACAACTCATCTGGTCAGGTCGGCCTGCTCTCCCCCTTTCTTGAGCCCTCCAGGTGAAAACATGAATTCAGATGCATGTTTTTGTGACAGAAAAATAGGCAACTATAATTGGTTATCCAGAATAGGCCCTTGGTGAAGTTAAATACATGCCGGTCTACATCCATTCTGTGTAAACAAGCAGAGCTATAATAAACTCACAGCAGATGCTGTGGGTCTCATCCCACCTGGTATGGTCAGAGCTGATGTACTCAGGAAGAGATGCTATTGATTCCAATCTCCATAGCAAAAATGCTGAGAACCCAGCTCCAGTGCAAATTGAGAAACAAAATGTTAGCCAGCTCAGCTGTGGAGAAACAGATGGAAAATGCAACCCTAGGTGCCTCCAAAAATAAAGGCTGAAATATATAGACTCATGGCTCTTAGCTTTGTCTCTTAAGATGCAAGGCTTGTGCAGCGTGGTTTAAGGGGTATCGCAGCCAATCCAGCAACCCCACTCCAAGAAACCTTAGAACCCTTTGGCCGATCTCCCCTAGCTTTGGCAGAGGAGTTGAAATCTTGCTGACACAAAGCGCCTACAAGCTTTGCGAAAATAGGTGACTCGCCTGAGAAGAAAGAAAGCCACTATAAATATCCTGAGTGAGGGAAGAACTCATCACTCACTCAGTTCTTACCATACCTAGGAAAATGCTGTTACAAAAACCCCTGCCACAAAGACGGCCCCAAGCATGAATCACTTCTTACCAGATAGCAAAAATTCCAACCGCGGAGGCAAAATCCATGAGGACCCGAACAGCCTTTGTGCATCTGCAGGACCTTTGGTTGGGAAGGGGGCATCCATCCCTTTGGGAAGCATCTCCGGGGGGCAGAAGGCTTTCTGTCTGAAAAGAGATAACATCTCCCTTTGAGGCTGCTGACCTTACTCACAAGGGCTTCTACTTGTAAAAGCCTGAAGAGTCGCACCTCCTTAAGCCTACCAGCCTTCCACAGCCTCAAGGGAAATGGCTTTAGGATGTGTGAAATGGAAGAGAGAGGAATGGGTATCACAAACATGCTGAGCTTTACCTCTGAGCTTTTGCAAGAGATTAAACAAAACATCCTGAGTACTGTGAGCACTTTGCATGTGATAATCCAGGGGACCAAAGAAGTGAACATTTTATACCACTTCAGGGTGAATACGGTGAAATTAACCAAGGTATGCCAATTTGGTCAAGAGAAAAGGATGGCTAAAAACTGAAGTGTCAAAGCTGTGGGGGTGAAACTATCTGCCAGTTTTCCACTATCTGGGATCCCAGAGGGGCCGGGCACTGAATACTGAGATAAAGTGGATGCCAAGAATAACCTAAATGCTCTAGATAACCCCTGCCATGGGGTATGGCACTCATCCATCCATCACTGAATTGAAGCCACAGAGCCTGTCAAGACCTGCCTTGAGTTTTCACATTCTGTGCAACAGCCCTGCCTTATGGATCCCAGGGCTGCTGAGGTCTTTGAATGTGTCACAGGACAACGTATGGCAGGGTGACCAGGTCTGAGACTGTTGACTTGTGCTGTAGGGTTCTGTTGAAGTGACTGAGTTCAACCCGGAGGCAATCACAGCAAGCTTTGGGTGAAATGGATTCAGACCAGCAATGCGCATGGGAAGGAGCTGGCAGTGACAAAGCTGGTAGCAGCATAGTGGGTCACCAGTGCTGTGTAAGGCCATGGAGAGGTGTCCGTACCTCCACCAGTCCTCCAGGGCCTGTGATCGGGAGTGTGATACACACTGAACATCCGAAGCCCTGCTTTTAAAAGCTGTGAAGTCATACATAGGCTGTGGGGAGAGGGGGGTTCATAAGAATTTGTGGAATTCACATTTCACAAGAAAAAAAACACGGGTCACAAAAACCTCAGTGGCTTATTTTTAGTCTTTCCTCATCCATACCTCAAGCAATGGTGCCAGGTCTTTTATTCTAGGTAAAACTGATATTGAGGGATTTTCTGGGCCTTATCTGGTATTCAGCTCCTCCTTATTCTCTTATCTTTTCTCTCACTTCTCCAAAACCCTGTGAGTGCTGTATTCAAGGCATCTCTAAAGTATGAGCCCACATTCACTAAAAGGTCAAAATGTACCCCAGCATAATCTTAGTAGCTAATGGCTACAGCCAAAGCAGAATGCCTGCATCTCCCTTCCCCAGGAATTCCTGAGGGCAGAGCTCTGGGAAAGGAGAGCAGCTCTGATAACACAGGATGGAAAGGGTCAAAATGGATTAGAAACATATTTTCTTGGTGTGTGCTCTTTGTTGTCTCTGAGAGGCATTTCTTGCACACATGTTGCACAACAGACACCCACAGCAGAGCTCAGGAGCCTAAGCCAGCCAGCTCTGTCTCAGTCATCACACTTTTTGCCAAAAGCAACAGCTTCCAGCACTGGAAGATCAAATTGGGTCGTCCTTCTAAATCAGCTTGACAGCATTCAGTTTTAAGCAGTTTGCAAGCTAGCATTTTAGATGCATTTTCAAATGTCACCCCACACCGCTCAGTACTCAGATGGTGGGCTTCTCAGAGCCTGTCCCTGAAAACCTTGTGAGATCCCAGCATCCTGCTCCACCAGTAAGTTCCAGTACTGCAGTGTTAAGTCCTGGCACTATGCACAGGACAGAGACATCAGCTTGACATTTTGAGACACTTTTGTCTTGCTAACAACGCAGCATCTAATTTTCTCTCTTAGATTAGTCATTCTTCCCAAATTTCCTTCTTTTGTATAGGGATTCCCTCTGTTTCCTCCTACGGGCTTCATTGTCTTTTCACTGTAGGTGCTTGGAAGCAATTGTGTTTGGCTGTTTTTATTCTTCCTGCCACAGCATCTTGAGAATTGATTTTCCAGAATAACCTGTGGAGATGAGGAAGGGAAAGAAATACCTTGTTATTGGACTTTAGAAGTCTTTAGAAGCTACAGTTAGAAGGAAATTCATATCAGAACAGGGCCTTCAATGCTGCATCAGGCATTCCCATCAGGAGTGGTGCCAAAGGTGCTGATCCAACATGGGAACAGTGGGGTAGGTTCGGCGATTGTGAATACCCCAAAAATTGCTCTTGCTGTCTGTGCGCTCGGATCTGGAGCCCAGAAAAATGGGAAAAATCAAGTCTCTGCAAAAACAGATTTGTTTGGAAAATGATGATGAAAATATTTCCAGGCTCAGCTCATTCTTTTTGATTGCACTGCTGTTTGGCTGGCTGCAGGATCAGGTTCCCTCTTGCTTCTTCTTAAGACAACCACAGCTACTGGCACGCTTTGCGTTGTAGACCTGGAACCCTCCATCCATGGCTGTTCTGCACGCAAGTACATGCACATGCTGGCCCAGAAAACACGAGCAGTGCAATTTAGGAAATCTTGCCCTAAGTCAGTAACTGCCTGCTTCTGACAAAGCTGTGCAAAGGAAACCAAGCTTTGCCAGCTCCTCTTCCCTGCCTCCTAACCACCCCATACCCAGTGCTGGCACAAGCTGGCATTTATCTGGGGCCAGCAAGCTCCAACATCTCAGCTGTGTCAGCCATCCTGCAGCTCACACCATGGTGCCACAGTGATTGCTCTGCACCTGGTGGTAATTACACAGCATGCAAGTCTGAACTAGAGCATCTTTCCGAATTATCTGCGTGGATGCTCGCAGTGTCGAACCAAAATGCAAGAAGGCTTTTTCTTCATGGCATTAAACTAGAAACAGAACCTGTATTTATTCCTAAATAGGAACATTCAGTTTGATTTAGTCTAGCACAACTGGATCAGTTGCTGTGCAGGTAAGACACAGAAGAAATAGGCAGAAAACAGGCAGGTGGAATTTCTTTGGGCCAGAACAACGCTTTCAGGGCATCACCGATGCTACACGTTATTTGAAGATAATTCGGCAGACACATCTGAAGGTCTGAGTGTGCCTTAAACACACCAAGCTTTCAAAATGTTTTATTTTTCCTCATAGTTGGCAGTTTGGGGGCCTTCGGGTACTCTAAGTCTTCTCTGTACCACCAGAAGTTTAACAAGGAATATTTTGTCCTCAGGATCCACGCCTGATTGTTGCTGTGCTGATGTGTGCAAACACCTTGGGGCTCTTGGTTTGCTTGGAGTTGCTATTGCTCTCCAAATCCATCAGAGTTACACGAAGTGGTAGCAATTCCAGCACTGTGAGCAAACAGAGGGTGAGCAAGGTTCCCTGAGTGCCACTCATGCAAGCAGAGGGGCTTCCATCTCCTTCTCAGAGTCTGAGCAGTGGATTTGGTTCACAGACTTTTGGCAGAAGACTGAATTACAATGGGAATTATTTAGCTTCACGTACTCTGCAGCTGTCTGGGTACCTCCATAACTCACCTGCTTATCCCTAATACTTCCAATGAATGTACCCTGTCTTCCCTGGTTTATCAGCACCACTGATACTGCCAGAGGTGATGGCACGTTCTGCTCCACTGGCAGCCCCTTTCTGGATCACATTCTCATCTCTCAGTGAACAGCCTCTCCCTTGCCAACAATCACGTCAATGAGCATGAATGTCTCCTCTGACTCTCTGTCCTCGCACACATGACACATCAGAATCAGGTCCAAGCTTGTGCCAGCTTCAGTTTGGCTTCTGAAAGTGAAGCAAGCAGCTGTCATCATCTCCCTCTGCTTCAGGCACAATGTGAGTCCTGCACAACACTGTGGTGCAAACTCTCTGAGGTGACATTGCTGCACAATGGACCCCAAGTGGACCAGGGAGAGTGGAGGAGTGTGTGAGCCTTCAGCTCTGATAAAACCATATTTGCACAGTTATGATTCCTGAGCCCTCAAGACTATTTTGACTTGACTCCATCTCCTGGCTTTGTGCTGGACTCCAGACGGTGTGCCTGTGACTGGGAGCTGAATGGTGAGTCTGGATGGAAGACATCCCCAAGGTAAACCTGTCTTATCCCTTTGTATAAATGCCAAAGTAAAAGTCAGTAAGGTTCAGCCACAACTCCTTCTGAGATGCAGTGGATGCATTGGAACATAGCTATCAACACCTTGCTTGCTCCTTTTTGCCTCTTGCCCTCTTTCTGGAGATCCAACCAACTTTCCTAGAGTCTTTGCCCTCAAGCTGGCACCGTGAAGGGCTCACAGTGAATGAATATCCTAGAATCATAGAACCATTGAATACTATAAGTTGGAAGGGATGCATGAGGATCACCAAGTCCAACTCCTGGTCCCACATGGGACCACCCAATTAATAATCAGACCATCCTCCATCCATCTCGTCCATACCTCCTTTTGGCGTTGATCCCAAAGTGTTCTGGAGCCAGGCTGTGCTCAGCACTGGGCTCTTACGTGCACACACACACATGCACACTCACACTGCAGCATATCTTGCTGGCATAATACAGACCAAGTGAGATGTCTGGCCCATTCAACCTTTTTTGGCCTCTTCCCTATCGGTGCAGCATTTTAATCATTACACAGCCTTGCTGTTGACTTTGCTAGCCTTTATTCACTGTCTGGATAGATTCTGTCCAATATGAATTACAGGGCTCTAATTGGCTCAAGAGCCAAGCCTGCACCTCCCCCTGTAATTTAGCTTTAATTAATGATCATTTATTATTAACCGTAATCGGCTGGGCTTAAGCTTAATGTCAGCTGGTTATTACCGAGAGAGCAGCATGGATTGTTTTCATCTCCTTTATTACCCATTTCAATATTTCCCCCTCCCCTGTTGACAGATACACACAAAATGTCTATGTCAGCATAAATGATCACCGTTAAGGAACAATGGGTCTTTCAAAGCAGCTGTAGTCAGACCACACTCTTCCTGTGCCTCTAGGTCAGCAACCTAGGCAGAGTGGACCAAGCCCCTCTATTGCTACAGGAGCTACACACTTTTAATTTAGTTTAGTTTTTTT